GTAGACTATCAGAAAACATTTGTTTGACTCAAATTAAGCTGAACTATAGAACCGTTTACAGGAACATACCATCAACTTGTAACTTATTCTATTTCCAGGACCTATTCTCTTCTCACTGTCAATCCAATATGATGGAATTCCGCGATCCTCTGCAATTTCTTGAAGGTGTGAAGTGTTGCTTGAGTTCCACCCACCAACCACTAACATGAGATCCATCTGTTCATCAACCAGCTTATACATGGCATCTTGCCTCTCCTGAATGCAAGAAGGACGACTTAATAAGAGGAGGATGCTTTAGAGTCGAGCACAATATACAACCTGTTAAGTATTGGTAGAAACCAAATATCACCAGGGAATCATTTTCTTTTTCTATTTTTGTGGGATTCATTCATCTATTTTAACACAATTCTCTTCTTCTCCATGAGGAGTCCTAAATATATTGAGACAATATTAAACAAGCAAATTTAGAAAAAGATGTCTGAGAAGGAAATTTTTACTTGAGTTGCATCACAAATAGTATTGAAACTTATGAAGTGATTGTTTATATTTTCCACTCCATACTTGCGCATCAGGGATCTCTCAACTAATTTTCCTGTAGAATAAAAAAGTCAATATCAATATAAGAAGTTGTAGGTTTCAAATAGCACAGGAAAGGTCTTGCAGGTGAGTAACTAACCAATCTCCTCTGTTTCTCCCTTCAACATTGTTGTTTGATTTGCAATACCAACTTTTACAAGATCTGTATCTGGATCAAACCCCTCGGATACAGCATATTTAAATTTCTACAAACAAACAATTGACATGAAATTCCAGTGTAATACGAAAGTCTTAAAAGGAAAGAATGTAAGCTATTTGTTCTGTACCTCGAGAAAAGCCTCTTTGGTTGAGCTGGATCCATCAAGTTCACCGCCCAAAATGTAATCGCAGACATATGTTGCCTAAATTCAAGTATTAAACATGGTAACGCCTTTTCAACCATTCCCAACAATGGATGCTCATAACTAAGCATGGAAGTTTAATAT